ATTATGGGGGAGAAAAGATTTCGTATACCGTCAATGAAGTCGGCTACGATGCCATGACCTTGGGTAATGTAGGTATACAGTACCTAATAAGAGATTAGTCACTAAACGATTATAGCACGAATTCGACAAGGGATGTCGGGTAGAAAGGTTATAAAGGCCAAGAGAAAGACTAGAATACGATCAGAGTGTTCAATGTGGGCAGGCACGGACAGAGAATAGGCGGGAAAGTGTGAATGCGAAGTGAGCATACGCATCACATCCACGGCTGAACAGAAGCATCTGACTGCATTATATTCTCCAAAGAACGTTCATCTCCGGCTCAGCGGCTGACCAGACTTGATGCGAACCACCACCCAAAAAATCCATCAACGTGGGTCAGGTCGAAGAAGAATCCGCATCGGCTACACCTCTCTCTCCAAAGGCACGCTGCCCATTGGCCACATTGGCCCATTTAGACGTCCAAATTTTGATAGGACACGCCTACTTGGCCGCTGCTGGAACCCGGAGAGTCCAGTTTCCGATAATGACGAGCACGAGAAAAAGTAGGCGTGACCCTATGGGATTCCCTGGGAATTTGATAGCGTTCTTCCGGGTCCAACGTGCTCATGAGGGGGTGTGAAGATAAGGTCTCCACGAAGACGAAGTCGCTCACATCTCTTCGCCATATGCCACTCTTCTCCATTCAGTCCACCACCAGCCTCCCCCCCGAACCCGGTATCGTTATCTATCAAATGAAATCTCTGCTCATTTCTGAAAACTAGAAGCAGGGTTGCAATTCTTACAAAACTTATGACGATCTTGTAGCGTACAGAAGGATGTTTGTGGTGGTCACCCAAGTCGAATATCCTTCCAACTACGCACCCATCAGTCAAATGTCAAGATACCAGAACGGTACCTTCTCTTTAGAAGGTATTGTTATTATCGTCGGCCACCCAAGACGTGCTCTCTCCACGAACGAAGTCGACTTGATAGGCAGCCTCACTCGCGTGCGCTCTATTCCCCCCAGCCTCATCCCATACCCCTTTCTACCGATTGGGCA